GATTGATACATAAGAAATTTGCATCCATCATTGATAAGATTTAATATTTTATTGTTGAATTTGCACACAGGTGCATATAATATACATGTGAGTAGCTTCATGGTTCAAGGAATGGAGAAAAGAATGGACTTTTGCTAGACTAAGCTAATCTTAACAAAAACTTGTGTGGATGCTGACAGGTGAAACAGTCAATGGCTTGTAATCATTGATCAGTGAGCCATGTTCCAATTCCAATCAGGTTCATTATAATCACTTACATGCAAATACTCATTCTCTCCCCCAACTATGGGTTAATTAGTAGGGCTTGAATCAGTAAATCATTATTATCTCCAACAAATTATACCAATCTAAAAATATTTTCTAGCTTTAAACAACTTGCAAAAGGTTGGTAAGCCGTAAAAAAAACCAATCAAAAATGATATTGTTCATTATCTTTTGTAATAATGAAGAGTGTGGGATTTTCTGTGTTAAATAGCATCTGATTTTCTAACATCAATCAAGCAAACAGTTGTATAAAATTAATAAGAAAATCTCCAAACAGTTTGGACAATATTTGCTGCATGTCGGTGCATTGAATATTGCTACCACATCTGGTCTAGTGCTTCTGTTATGTATTTTGTGATTATGGACAAAAGCCTGGAAAGAATCTCAAATATTATTTGTCCTGACCTGGCATTTCAACTTCAATCAGTTTCCAACCAATAAATATTTTCATGGTAATTGTTCTGATCAGCTTTCCCTTTTAGTATCTTGACTTCCTGAGTTTAAGTACAGTACTAGATTGGCAGGTAGGTCTCATCATTTTACTGTTGAAATTACTCTTAACGTAAGTTCTATTCTATTTCCTCTCTTGCACTTTGCACCTGTGGAATTCTCTTCCAGTTTCATGCTTTTCTGTCAAATGCAATCTACAAGAAATGTAAAGCAACGTCAATAGTCATCTTTCGTCTCCTAAAATTCTGTTCTTGCATCTTGCATCTTTCTTGGAATAAAATGATTAAAAAAATAATTTTCTGCTGCTTTACAGTACTGAAAGCTGGACTTAAACAAAGATGGCCGAGAGGCTTGTCTGAATATATATGAAGATACTCAGAGCTATAATTTGTTTATATTGGAAGAGCACAAAACAAGCAGAGAACTTTGAAAACTGTAAAGTCTGACTGCAATTCATTGGGCAAATTTGGAGGAGGAAAGAACTGCTAAAGTACTTTTGGGGAGAATGTAAACACCGAAAATGGAAGATGGGGGTGGGATGCTAAAACATGGGGATCAACTAAGAAATGATACTGGTTTGAGAAGTAAAGAACTAATGAATATCATAGATGGAGAAGATTGAACAGAACAAGTCAATGGTGCTTGAGATTGCCCAAAATAGAACTGAATCCTGTCCTGATTTGAACTCTTGACCTAGTGATAAAGTAACATATCCACTGTACCAGTGTTCTGCTGCTTGAACAGCAGAATTAAATTAATCTAAACATACCAAGTTAGATAGAGTACACTGATACTACACTGATCCAAAGCAGAGTGCACAGATATTCTTATCCTTGGCAAAATGGTAATATTAATATATATGTTCAGCACATCATGAACAAGCAAAATACATTTACCAACATAAAACAAATATTAAATGCTATACAGCACCACTGCAAGGGAAAAGTGAAAATTCTAGAAGCTATAATTATACAAAAGAAACAACCCACATTAAATAAAATATTTTTCACGGTATCTTGAAGTGTGTATATAATATCAAATATGCATAAAAATAAAACTGTGTAATATTTGATACATTCTTTCGAGTGCATTCTCACTCCCTTTTAACCATTACATATTCAAACTTCCAACTCTCTATAAAATACCAAGATGTAGCCAACAGAATCTTGCTACTACACTAACAGCACATGATTCTTGATAATGACTGAGATGATTGAAAAAATAAGAGAATATCCATGTTCTTTGGTCAGTTTAGTCATGATTTGTATCCTGATATATTACATCATATTCAAAAATTGGAAAAATACAATAAAAAAATTAAACAAACATAACTTGGTTGAATTTATTAAAATTTGTTTGTATATAAATTTATACATATTATATATATATATATATATATATATATATATATATATATATATATATATATATTTTTATACATATATATATATATATACAAACAAATATATATATATATATATGTATGTATGTATATGTATGATAGAGAGGACACTGAGGTCAACAACAAGCAGTGACAGATTACACTCATGCATGAAACAGACCATCCATTCTTATACTTACACACCCTCTATCCTTCATAATGATCAATTTTACCAATAAATATACCATACTTTTTATATATATATATATATATATATATATATATATATATATATATATACCCAAGTATAGGATTGGTGTATACAGAATAAATTCCAATAAGCAACAATTACTATTCTTAAAAGAGTGCTCAATACAGAGTAGAGCGAATATAATTATTTATTTGAAAATTATACATAAATATGTTATAAAATCACTACAAAAATAGCCATTTTGTTTCAACACCTCTGGTGTCTTATCAAATGATGATGTTGATTCAACATCATCACTTGATAAGACATTTTTGTAGTGATTTTATAACATATTTATGATATAATTTTGAATAATAATTATATATATATATATATATATATATATATATATATATATATATATATATATAATAGGTAGGTTTGCCTATCATCTAGTTCACACTATTCCACTCTTTTGAAAAGGAATAGACGTTTATTCCTTGTTCTCTGTTTAAAACTGGATTTCTGGTTCCTTCTAAAGTCTTTCACTCCCAGTAGCTCCTTGTGTCATAGTCACATTATAACCTTGTTTGGGATGAATTGATTAAAAAAAAATTATTCCTTTTCTTATATATCTGAGAGAGAGTACTCCATTTTAAGTTCTCTTGGAAAAGCATTTCAATACACATAGAACGTAATATTTTAATTTTGTTTACCTATTTACAATGCTATTTCATGTTTTTAAAAATATGTAAAATACATTTTTGAACTGATCTCAAAGTTTGTGTGTGATAGCAAATTTTAACAATAGACGTATTTTGATCATGTAAAGCCAAAATATGAAATGGCATTAAAAGTGGATTTGATTCTAATTTAGATTTCTAGAATAGCATAGCATGGAAAAGACCAACAGGAAAAGAAAGATCTTTTGGCTTAGCCCCCTTGCTGAAACTCAATAAAGTTTTGAATGCAGAAGTGGGAAGCAGTTCTTTTATGCTTATTGACAAACACTTTTCTGTTATGACTAAGTTTCATGAGATATTCAATGATAAATGTTATGTGTTAAGTTTATTGACTAAGTTTGAAACTGGCAATCTTGCTAAAATTTCATCTGACTTCATTTTTACTATTAATACACATACACATGGCAACATTTCAGAGATAGATGTCTAGTATTGTCTAGAACAAAGGTTCCCAAACCTTTTATTCTGGGCCGCCTTTTCGGAATGAAAATTTGCTCGTATCTCACCAAATATTATATGATAAAAGTACATTTAAAAATCAAAAAAACAGAGGGAGGGTTAAAGGGATTTGAAGTTTCAACATTATCATTGATAACTCTCTCTTCCAATTTGCAGAGCTTAGTTAATGTGTTCTTAATACTTGATATAATGAAAAAATATCACAATGCTGAAATTGGTCAGTAATTATTTATAACTATTTATACTGTGACACATGCATGCAATTAGAAGTAATCCATAATAATATTTTAAATTTTGAAATTATATTTATTTTTGGTATATGAATTTTTTTGAAACAGTTTCTAAATCTTTGATCTTCTTTCAATTAGTTTGCTTCACCTGCTATCCTCTTCTGCTGTACCTATGAGGTGACCAAACCATTATGGAACCACTGGTTTAGAACCTCCTCTAGCAGATGCAGCAAGTCAGTGTAACATTGATTCCAATTGTAGTCAGAGGACCTCTATAGAAATGTTGAGCCATGTTATCCAGTTTCCTTTTTATTCAAATAGACCTACCCACCATGTCCATAAAGGCTCAATTGGGCTTGTTGAACTGAATCTGGTGGCTACATCATTCCTCAGAAATCTCCAAAATATTTCTCAAAATAATTCTGAGCAACTTGGGCAACCAATGATGCAGTGCATTATACTTCTGGATTAATTTGTCATTGCTAGTTCCAATCTAATCAAGAATAACTGCAAAAACATTTCATCCCCAAATTTATAAACAAATCCTACAGATGCATCTTGATTCCTAACCAATAAAAATGGATTATTACTTCTCAGTTTCCTCTTCTATATTATTGTTCTTTCTTGTCTTGGAAGTCAGAATGTTACAATCACTTGATTGTATCTCTTTTGCATGTTAACACCTTTCTTACTTTGTAAATATTTTACCTTATTACTGTTGCTTTGCCTAGTTTTGTCTTGTATATATATATATATTGTATGCTTAGTATTACTTACCTGGTTCTTTTTCTTTCTTTGCTTATTAGAAACATTTGTCATTTATGCCAATTACAATTAACCATGGCCATTTCTTTACAGTTGTTGATGCCATGAAGTCCATCAATGGTTCTAAATAGTCAAGAAGCAGGGCAATATCGAAGTCACCAGACAGTGACAGGTTTAGGTAGATGAGTCAACCCGACTCATGCTACATGAGCACACTTCATGACATTATAGAACTACCACCAGCCTAAATTAGAACCTTGTTAACAACAGGAGTTCATGACCTCATAGTGGGGTCTGTGTATCAAACCTAAACACTACCATTTTTATTTTGGAGATAATAATGATTTAGTGATATAAGTTTTACTAATTAACCCATAGCTGGGGGGATGAGGTGGATTCATACCTATCTCAAGGGTATTTATGTGCAAGTGAATATAACGAAACCAACTGGAATTAAAATTTGGCTCTTTGATTTCCATTTCTGAGCCATTATACATTACACCACTCTCACATCCAAGCTTCTGGTATTCCCAAGTGGCCACCCATCTAGATACTGACCAAGCTCAATGTTGCTTGACTTTGGTGATTGTATGAGAACCAGTGTTTCGACGTGATGTGGCCATAAGCCACAAGCACAGGTGGGGTGCTGTGTTAACAGGAGCACTCTGGTGGTTCTTCTACTCATGTAACTCATGGAAGCCAAAAAACATTGATCTGACATGCTACATATGCATTTGGTGCTTCCTTCATTAAATGTGGATGTGATTTGAGCCAGTGTCATTTGTCAGTTTCTACTTACCAAATGCATCTAGCCTTTATCATTATGGACCTGTCCACAGTGGTTGTTAAGGCCTTCCATCCATTATTCCCTGTACTTGTGATACCATACATAAATGACAAATTAGCCCACAATAACAGAATTGTCCTATCAATCCTGTACCCACTATAATGCCTTGTTCAAAGTCCAATAATGCATACTAACAAGCCATAAGTAGATGAACCATTATTGACATTGATTCACCAGATGTCAGAACACAACTGACATTTGACTCTTCACCATCCCTCTTTGTCCTCACTCAGCCATCTATTCACACAAACTCATCAGGTAGGTTACATGCTGTTTCCTTCTGCCTCTCCTGCCTTCAACATATTCTGTGGGTGTTAAATTTTTCAAACTTTCTTTCCTCATAATGTGTATCAACTGTTTTTTTCTGAAGTTTTCTTTTAGTTTCCATTTTCTTTAAAACTTAAGATTTATCACCAAAATGATATTAATATAAAACTTAAACTTATGGCACATCTCTTAATGACCTAGATAACAATATAACAAACAATCCTACAAAATAGCTATGAGCAAAACACAATAAACAGGAAATAACCATTTTCCTGCTTTCATTAGTCTGATTCAATCCAATAGCTGTTAGAATAACACAATGAACTGCAAATAACTGATCTTCCCATACATATATAAATAGTTGAATTATAAATACACACACACACACACACACATATATATATATATATATATATATATATATATATATATATAAATCATCAAATAAATATAAATTACTTTGAAAAAGTTCCTCAGCAGATGAAACATGTTGGTAAAGAAAAGTTTTCCTTATGTCATTATTCATAAATATACATATATAATAGTTACCACCCACCTGACATGATGATTTCATTTAAGCATGAAACTGATTGTCATCACCCAGTGTTAATGCCTTTGTCCACAATGCTCATATATAAAGATCCGGACATACTGCAAAATAAATATAATGAACTAGTGTTTAAATGCTGACACAGAAAACAACCTAGGTTTAACCTAAGTACACTAAGGAATAATTATAGGAACAGCAATTTTGAATGTTTTATATTCCCTTTGTTTTAAAATATTACTATGCAAGTGGACACTAAGTTTTGACTGTATATATACAACCATGATAATGTATTTGCACACTGAGACAGTTAGTTTTGTACATGTATAGGGTTTTTATTTGGGCTTTGAATCTACCTGTTTTTTTCGTTTTTTTCATGTTGTGGAGATTTCAATTTTTTAAAAATATTTTTCCTAAATATGAAAGATTGATTTGATTATGTTAAAGACATAAAAATGTAAAAAATTGAGATAGTTTTCAGACGCAATGCATGTGTGTGTGTATACATATATATATATATATATATATATATATATATATATATATATACATATATGTATATATATATATATGTCATTACATACAGGCTTATATGGGTATGCAGATGTCCTCATGTGTGTATATACATATATTAAGTATAAGTATACATGGGATTGAAAGTATGGAGACATTTGTGTATGTGACAGAGTTTCTGCAGGGGTATATATCAAGATGGAAATAGGCAAATATCGTTTCTGGGAATTGTTTGTTACAAATATAAACAAATGACAGACAGCTCATATTCATTTGGTTTACAAATGAAGTTGAGACATGTGTATTTAGAAAGAAAATATCTCTCAACAGGCCTAAAACAACTGAAATTTTTACTTAATGAACAAAATATAAAAATATATACAGGTAGATAGATAATGAACAAAATCAAATAATAAATGTCACCTCTAACAAGCTATAAGAGTTTCTACCAGAGTGATAGAAACCATGGTAGTATAAAGATTACTCTTTCAATATTTTGCCTATAGATCTTTCCAATCGACTGCTTTTTGAAAAAATATTGAAAACTCGACTTTATTTCAAATTAATTTTTTGGTAGATTGTTTTAAAATTTTAGAATTTATCAAACCTTAACCTCCCAAATATATGTTAAATGTGCAAGATGACAGCCCAAAATTTCATGAAATTTGTCGGTTAATGAATTGGGGCTGTTATAGTATGGTCTTCCTAAATCTCAGAATGAGTTCCCCTTACAGACCTTTAGTGACATATAGCAATTCGTAAGATTAGAGCAACATCCAGGCGACAGAAGACCAAAACTATAGATACATGACACACTGAGGATTGAACTCACTTCCTCAGTTGTAACTGATATATTTGAGAAATCCTAAAAAACACTACAATTTTGTTTTCATTCAAATATGAGCTTTTGTACAAGTCTGATGATTTTTTTTTTTTTTTTTTTTTTGAAATTTCACCCCATGGAATCTAACGGTCTGCCTTTTTATTCAAAATATATATATTATATAAAATATATATATAGATCAAATAGGAGTGATAAACCTACCCAGGGTTTCACCTAAGGAGAAGGGTAGTGGATAGATCAAGGCAACTGGAGATGTCGATTGACATTACACTTGAATAGCTGGAGATTATAGCTCTCAGGGGAAACTGGAATAGGGAAGGGAGTTCCACAGGCGAGAGGTGTGAGACATGAAGCTATTAGAGTAGAAGAGATGGCTATATTTAGGAGTTTTGACAGTGAAGGGGTGAGAGCGGGATGCCAGCCTCATAGGGCATTTGAACTCATGAAGTCTGGGAACCAGCGAATGCAGCTCCTCGGAGCAATTACCATGAAAGTATTTGTAGAACAGACAGAGAGAGGTGACGGTGCGCCTGTGAGAAAGTGACTGTAGACGAGATGCCAGAGCAGGGCCAATTATATTGCATATCCGCCTCTGGAGCCTATCAAGAACCCCCAAGGCAAACAGAAGGGGTACCAGACCATATATGGCAGCAATACTCGATGCAAGGGTGAATGGTTGATTTGTAGATCTGGAGGATCGATTCCGGGGAGAAAAATTTCCTGGCGTGGCACAGGGAGCCAAATTTCCTTGCGGTGGATGAAGCAATTGACTCAATGTATTTGTTCCATCTCAGGTCAGCAGTCAACGTGAGACCGAGCAGCATGAGAGAGTTGCTCTTCCGAGAAGTTGAGCGTCAGACATTCCAATGGAGGGCAGGAAGGATCTCTGTGGTGATTAATAGAGAGCTGTTTTGTTTTGAAGCGTTAAAGTTGACCAGCCAATTCTTGCCCCAGTTCACAACCGATTGGAGGTTCTTTTCGAGACGCACGGCCAAGTTAGTTTTGTCATTGACACTAGATTTGTTTTTGAGGTAGGAATAAATTGTGGTGTCATCCACATAGATGCGAACTTAATTTATGAACTGTTTCAATTCCCTGAGCCTTTGGTTAACACCTCACATAAATAGACACATATCTATGATTCATTCACTCATGTATCTGAGAATTAGTTAAGATTTCAACAGGTTGTCCTAAAAGTCTGTTCAGATTTTGCCCCATCTCTTTTGACCATTTAACATTCTATACTCAAGGGCTAGTAGAGATCACACCTTTTATCTCTTATAGTGCAAGCAGTAATATTGCTATATTATTTAATGATAAATACTGCATTTTTTTTTGCTGTGTCGTCCTGGGTATGATGATAAACTGCATCCAGCAGCAAGGCCCCTTATCGAAAGATTGGGGGTTTTGAGGAGCCTGGAATCATCTTTTAATTGCTGTTGTTCCTAGGTCAACTTTGAATTGGGGTCATAGCACCTGTTTGTGTCCCATCTATGGGAAAATAGTGAACCCCTCCAAACAAAAACACTATGAAAGTATAAAAATACATTTTAATAGTAAAAATACCAGCAATACATTTTTATATAAAAAAAGACCAATACATATAGTTAAATGACCATTTTTATCTGTAGTTGAAGGCATATTTTCAAAATATATTTAGTTGAAGCCATAAAATTGTGTTTAAATTATTTAGATTTCGGTATTAAATAACCAATAGAGGTGTTGATATGCTGCTAAACAAAATAAACTAACCAATCTCTGCTGTGTCTAAAATGGAAGAGTAAACAAAAAAGTGTTTGTATTATTTTTAATTAGATTTTGTGGTTTAAACCAAAGATCAAATGATTTTTCCTAATTCTGCTGAACTCTGGCACTATTAAATAAAGTTCTGATTTTATTTTATCATGAAGTCTTGCAGAAATTACTCTGTCACTTCTAATAGGCATTTTGTATCTTTCTGATTTCTTTTCAGAAATTCTAATCACCTCTCCTGAATCTATCAACCACAAATAACTTGATTTCTGATGTTTTAATACAACAATGAGAAGGTAATGTGTAGAGTATTATAATGAAAACTAAAGTTGTTGAGTCAGACATGTTTGTTATAGTAATTGATTCTTTATTGATGAATGAGGGTTTTGATGGCTTTATTGATTTGACTCTCAATGATAATGGGGATATTTTTCAGCTGATGTATAGATTTTAGATGAATGGTGAAGAGATTCATTTGAATAAGTCACTTTATAAGTAGAAGACTGTTTTGCTTGAATTTTTGACGTGATGTAGATTGGTAAAATAAAAAAAGAAATTGAATAACATATTGATTTCTGATTATCGCCAAAATTATTGTCTTTTCAAAAAGAGAAAATCATAGAAAATAAAGGAAAGGTATAATATTAGACATTTTAGTGTGTATTTGTACTACCAATGCAGAATGGGTAAGTTTTGTTTTCATGACAAAGACATGAATTTAAAAGAAGCCATGCTTCTGCAAATGAAAACACCAGTCTTTCAAATTTTCAATTTTTCTAAATATCATTGATGACTCTCTTGAGTTTACAAAGAAGAAAACTTTCCCACTCAAACAAAATCAACATTATAAACATC